ACGCTCCCGGTCTTCTAACCTTTGTCATGGTGACGAGATCAAGTAGGTAATGAAGGACAGAGTGTGGTAGATGCGATGCAAGTCAACTATTACTTTAATTGACGCACAAGTCAGCACCCCTGCGTCCACATTGGTGAGGCACACATGGCTAGAAACGAAAGTTGAACTGTCGTCGGGTACACGGTTGTGTTTCTGTGGCGAATAACTATCAGTGTCTTTTTAATATCCTCCAATAGTATTGTACGATAACGTCCTGAGGAATAAATAAGTCCAGTCGTCCATGCTTACACATTAGTCACACTACCTTCTTCCTTAACTCCTTCCAAACACGAGATAAGATCATCTTGGATGTTAAGCTGAAACGCATATATTGGAGAGCAGGAAAGAGTTTACGCTTCTTAATGTCATTCGCATGAACATGAAATTTAAATACGGGTAACTGTAATAAGAGAGCGGCCTCATATTCGTGTCTTCAAACAAGCAGTGAGTACTATACCATTTTAATTTATGCACACCCTATTGCCTACGCTCTCTTAGTATGATTCCCATGCAAAGGTCTCCGCGGTCTTCCTACTTGACTATCTGCGAACCGTGATGATCCCGTCAGCCAAACCTTGCGGCTGTAGTCTAGGCGGCCCCCAGACGTTCTCCCTGGGTTCGATCCGCAGCAGACTGTCAAAGATCTTGGCTGATATTTTTGTTTTCGCAACCCTGTCGCATCTTCCGCCCTTCAGTGATGATCCCGATGACCTCTGCAATGCCCCTTCCCCCCCCCCAAGAGCGATAGTTTTTTCTTCTAAAAATCTCGAGGAGTTTTTTTTTCACTCTCTGTTCTTTTTAACTATGTTCCAGCTCATGGCTCAGGTCAATTGGCCTCACCAACAAACTGAGATACTATTTTTCTGCTGCCACAACACGCATGTACAAACAGGGAACTCAAAGGTAAACCACCTACATACCTCTCAAATATACCGATGATGATACTCCTGGAACACACAGGCCGAAGTGGCAGCCGTCGAGTGAGC